AGAGATTTATCTATATTTATCTTCCCTTTTTATCTATTTTTAAAATTTTTTTAATCCTCATTATGCACATTTTCTTTTTGGTTTAAATTTTCAACACATACTCCCAACAATCACCAAATGAAACCATTTGTTTGCCGCTTGAGATTAAAAATGAAAAGACTTGTTTTCCTGTACTTACCATCCTTGTCTAGACCCGTAATAAAATTGGACAGGAGAAGATTAATCCCAAGATTATTTCTTCTTTATTTTGTACTTTTGTAAGAAGCCATCAATTACATTAACTAAGACATTTTTAAAAATGAAATTGTTGCCCTAAAAATTGGCCAAAGTTAAAAGGATTTGAAAGTCGTTCAATAGCCATTCTAATATCGATACCTGAAATTAAAAAAAATAAAAATTAAATTTGCAAAATAATAATAAAGTTAGATTAGATGGATTAAAGCAAAAATGTCTAATGTTCAGTATTTTCAAATCAATGTCACATAGTATGTAATAAACTTTCGAATTGTCCAACTCACTTTCTTATGTACTTGACATCAATTGTTCACATATTTCAAACCAATGCCATCACACACAGTCCAACTCACTTTCTTCACATATTTCCTTGTCTAGTTTTACGACCTTTATTATGTACTTGACAAAAAATGAAAACACTTGTTTTCCTTTACTAACTAAACCAGGTAAGAAGAACAATGGGACAACAAAAACTCTACACCACGATTTTGTTGTCCTCATATTCCAAGAGGTTAAAAAAGAAAAGACATAAATAAAGAGGAAAAAAGAACCTATAACCAATTTAAAAGACAATTAGACATCAATTTTTATTTTGACAATGGGGGATTCCAAAACTTAGCACAAAGTTATTTCCAAAGTAATTCAAAATTTACCAATGTATATTGTCTTAAGAAAGGCATTTTGTTACTAAGATTAGTCTGTGTGTTCACCAAAAAAAAGAAAAGAAAAAGAGATTTATCTATGTATATCTTCCTTTTTCTTTTCTTTTTTCAATCCTCATCATGCACATTTTCTTTTTGGTTTAAATTTTCAACACATACTCCCAACAATCACCAAATGAAAACACTTGTTTGCCGCCTGAGATTAAAAATGAAAAGACTTGTTTTCCTGTACTTACCATCCTTGTCTAGATTAATCCCAAGATTGGACAGGAGAAGATTAATTCCAAGTAATATGCCTCAATCTCAGGCCTATGTCATTCCAAAGATTAGAAAATATAAGTAAGCAAACTCCATTAAAGATTAAAAATAACATCCAACTCCCACTGTTTGTATCACCAATTTGAATATACCTCTATTTTGCTAAACCTTCCTTGGCCTGTTATAATAAATTCACTCACTATTTTAACAACAAAAATGTAGAATTATATAAGCAGCTAGCATTAAAAAGAGAGACATTTTAACCTTGGGACATTTTAACGGGTAATGTTATAAATTGAGTGAAAGGGAGAAGGGTTTAGCAATCAACCATGGCTCAGATCAGCGGACATTAGAAGGAAAAACATAATACATTTTATATATTCAGCGGACACAAAACATTTTAGCGTGTAATGTTATAAATTCACTCACTATTTTAATTGAGGCATTTTACCAAACATAGTGTATGCATGAAGACACACACAAAACATAGAGGGGTAAAGAGACAGATTTTAATTGAGGCAATATAAATGAGAAACACAATCAAACCCAAATGAGAAACAAATCACATAAAAATTTTGAGGCATCAAAGAGACCCAATCATTTATTAATTTTGAGACACAATCATACAAAGAGACCCAATCATAAAAATTTTGAGGCATACAAAGAGACCCAATCATACAAAAATATTTCAGAGACCTAATCATTTATCATTTTCAGGACATAGTGAAAATATTTCAGACCCTAACTGTTAAATATTTCAGAGACCCAATCATACAAAGAGACACACATAAAAAATTTGAACCGAGAAACACAGATCTACCTTGCATTTGATCAAACAGTGCCCTCGAATCTCATGAGTGATACCGATCTCTTTCTCGCTGGTTGCACTACCTTGTATTTGATCAAACAGTGCACTCAAATCTCAACCAAGTTGCCATAAAACCAAGAACAAAGAGTGGGTAGAAGAGATAGAGAGAGAGAGAGAGAGAAAAACCAGAGAGAAGAGATTAAAATTTGAAAACCAGAGAGAGGAGGACGACTGTGAGAGAGAGATAGGGAGGTGTGTTTGGTACTCATTAGGAGGAATCCAAAGAGGCAGACTATGCTAGATTTTGATTTTGGCCCTTAGATTTTGATTAAGATTGATCTGAACCGTTGGTCATAAATGTATCTCTATGACAATTTCTTGCCACATAGGACATTTTTAAAAACTCTTCTCCCTTATTATATAGATATATATATATATATATATTTAGAGGAAATAAGGAAACAGGGGAAAGCAAAATACTGAGGTTAATTCGTGGATTGGGAGCAAAAGAAACTAGAGTAGAGACCCAATCCACGAGTCCAACGAATCTGACATGGGTGAAGTAAAATTGATTTTGGTTGGAGAAAGAGGCGAGAGCAACATACTGAAATAAGGGTTTATCATTCTTTATCTTTCACGACATCTTTATCTACTATCTACACCACATATTTGCAATGTTTTTATCCTCTACAATCTACTGAGTTCATTAGGTATTTTTTCTCTCTTTTTGACTCTCACACAGACAAGCAAACACACACAATATCTCTATTTTTGTTTCTTATTTATGATTTTTGTGTTTTAGGCATAAAACTTGATACAAGTTGAAAATCTAATCTTCTAATCCATGAATTTAATTTTCATCTTTTAATATCAAGAATTAATTGTGATTTATTATTATTGTATTTATATTGTGATTTTATATAATGTCTTGCAAGTGTTTGTCTACATATTTAAAATGGCTACAGATTAGAATTCATTACACTACAACAAAAAGCACAAATGATGACTAAAAAAAAAATTTCGTCTCTGAAAGTAGCACTTTCGACGACTAAAATGGAATTAGTACTTTTGGCTACTAAAACAGTTTAGTAGCCAAATGTATAGTTATTGGCGACTAAAAATCAGTTTAGTGGCCGATTATATGGGTTTTAGCGACCAAAAAAATTTTAGTAGTCAAAAGTCAAGGTTTTTGGGGAATAAAAACATTTAGTAGTCAAAAGTATAGGTTTTGGCGACAAAAAAATAGTTTGGTCGCCGATTATACGTGTTTTACCGACAAAAAAAAATTTCGTAGCCAAAAGTGAAGCCTTTTGGCTACTAAAAAATATTTAGTAGCTAAAAGTCAACAATTGGCGACTAATATTCAGTTTAGTCGACCAAAGTGGAGGTTTCATGCGGGAATTAATTCTTTTAGCGACAAAAAAGTAATTAGTAGCCAAAAAGTATAAAATTGGCGACTAAAAAACAGATTTAGTCGCCAAAAGTGGTCTCCTATTTTTTTAGTAAATAATTTATTTTTTACATAAATTATATTAAATAAAAAATAATTTTTTTATATATATAGTTTTGTATTAATACCGATCAATATATTATATAAATATTATATGTTGCATTTGTATTCATGTGATGTTGTAGTGGCATAGTGGGGAGAGTGTGTTGCTAAAGGTTTAGATTAGAATTCATTACACTACAACAAAAAGCACAAATGGCGACTAAAAAAAAATTCGTCGCTGAAAGTAGCACTTTCGGCGACTAAAATGGAATTATTAGCCAAAAGTGAAGACTTTTAGCGACTGAAACAGTTTAGTAGCCAAATTTATAGTTATTGGCGACTAAAAATCGGTTTAGTCGCCGATTATATGGGTTTTAGCAACCAAAAAAATTTTAGTAGCCAAAAGTCAAGGTTTTTGGCGACTAAAAACATTTAGTAGCCAAAAGTATAGGTTTTGGCTACAAAAAATAGTTTGGTCGCCGATTATAAGTGTTTTACCGACAAAAAAAAATTTCATAGCCAAAAGTGAAGCTTTTTGACTACTAAAAAATATTTAGTAGCCAAAAGTCAACAATCGGCGACTTATATTCAGTTTAGTCGCCCAAAGTGGAGGTTTTAGGCGGGAATTAATTCTTTTAGCGACAAAAAAGTAATTAGTAGCCAAAAAGTATAGAATTGGTGACTAAAAAATAGATTTAGTCGCCAAAAGTGGTCTCCTATTATTTTTAGTTAATAATTTATTTTTTACGTAAATTATATTAAATAAAAATAATTATTTTTATATATATAGTTTTGTATTAATACCGGTCAATATACTATATAAATAATATATGTTGCATTTATATTTATGTGATGTTGTAGTGGCATAGTGGGGAGAGTCTGTTGCTAAAGGTTTAGAATGTAGGAGGTTGGTGGTTCGAAACTTGAGAACAGCAGAGGGTAATTTTTTTTTTTTTTGAAATATGCTTTTGGCGACTAAAATGGAATTAAAATAGTGATGTTGCATTCACAAGAACCTTAAAATTTATAAATCCTAATTTTTTACTTTAAATTTTGTTTAGAGTTTGGTTAAAATTGAGAAAGAAATCAAATGTTTGAATTTGATTAGAATTTTGTTCTTCATGCTTACAATCTTAATTTCTTTTTTCTTTTTAATTTTTATACATTTGTTGATAAATGTACCCTTTTGCTTAGTTTGAATTTTAATTGACCTTTACGTGTTTGATAAATTGCCTGAAAGGATCGCAGAAATATGAGACATGCATGTGTAAATGTAGTTTATGTCATTTCCCATGCAAAAGTGATTGAGACCCCCGCAATCACCAACCCCCACCACCCCCACACACACGTGGGGGTTGGTGATTGGAGGAAGAGAAAAAATAAACAAATAAATAAAATCTGGCCAATCAGAGGACCCCCACATTTGGAGGGGTCCGTATCATTTTTGATGGAATAAATTAGTTGATGTAATATATTTTTTAGGTAAGGGTGAGAAACACAGTTTTGGTGCCTTCTTTTAGCTTCTAAAAGTTTGAAGAGCAAATTATCTACACCTCCCTTGAGATTTAACGAAATTACAAATTTTCTCCTGAGTTTTCAAAAATTACATCCTGTCCTATTGTAATTAACGCCTTTAACGGATATCATAAATTGACTAAAATGCCCTTTTGACGAATAAGGGCAAATTACCTACACCCCCTTAAAGTTTAGCTAAATTACAGATTTCCTCTGAGGTTTAGCTAAATTATAGATTTTCCCTTGAGGTTTGACTAAATTATCATTTTTAAATAAGTTATGAAATACAAAATTAAAATGGAAAAACACTTATCACACTACAAAAAATTATGGTTTCAGATATCAAAATTTAGGGACAAAATTATTTTTAGGGGACCAAATATTTTTGTTGCGAAAAGTGTCATTATATTTTTAGCAACGAAAATTGAACATTAGTGATTAATTATTATATTTTTGGTATCAAATTTTTTGTTTCAAAAAATAAATCACTTTGAGACCAAATTATTGTCCCTAAAAGTCTATTTATTATTGATATTTTCGAAATTTTATCGCTAAAAGCCTTATTTTTGACTTTTTAGAGCAACTTTTTAGCGGATATCCTCACGACGATAGAAATTAGTCTTTAAGTGTCTTTAGCAACAAAATTTTCACTTTTAGATATCAAAAAAATTGGTCACTAAAACTCTTATATGTTATAGTGTCAGATGGTGAAAATATCATAAAACTAACAAATAATTAAATAAATTAAAAACACAAGAAATGACTTGTCAAAAAATTCTTAGAATATGTATGGTTTGATTTTTAGAAATTTATTTTTTAATTTTTTTTAAAAAAATTAAAAATTAATTTGGTTAAGAAATAAAAAATAAAAAATAATTATTTTTATATGATTTTATCTTTTGAGTGGTTAGATATAATTTTTACAAATTAAATATATTTTTTCATATTTATTTTTATTAAATTAGATCCTTTTATTTTCCATCATTTATAAATCTAGGTTTTGTTTTCCTAATTAAATTATTATATTCTTGCATGCATCTTCATGGTTATTTGGGTTTGGAGATTAGAATATTGGAGGGATCTTTTTGCTCAGGAAAGGGAGGAAGATGACAAAGACATTAATTTCTCATTTTTGTCTTAGAGGCAAAGGATAAAATAAAATGGACTTGGGAATGGTCAATATTGTGTAGCTTCATTTTATAATCATCATCAAGCTTCATAAGGTCTCTCAAGGTCAGTATACAAATCGGAATTGGTTTAGAATTCCTCCATTCCACCTAAAGTTCAAGTTTTTTGTTACTTGTGATTTGTTGATTACTAAAAATAGCTTGTGTCCATTTCATGAAGGTTTGGAGTATTTTATTTAAAATGGCGGGATTTATTGTTAATATATCCTGTTGATTTGAAAAGGTTAATGAGAAGATGATTTTCATTTCAAATGAATGGATTGAAAAAATTAATCTGGGAGTCACTATTCTTTGCAGTTTTAATCATTCTTTTGATTCAGTGCAATAACTCTATTTCTAATAATGAAAATGCATAATGAAAGGAAGTTGTAGACATTATCCTAGTGGGAACAATGCACCAGGTGAAGGCATATAAGGAGATAAAGGAGTACTCAATTAACAACTTTATTATTGCATGGATCAGGTAAGGGAGTATAAATTGTAATTTGGTTTTGAGATTTGGTGATTTAGAGGTATGAAGAAAGTTCTGTAATGATTTCTTATAATTTTATTTTTCTAATACTGTGTTTGGTTGGGGGATTTGGAAAATAAAAGGGAAAATGTGTGTGAAACTAGGTGAAATATAAATAAATTTTATTCACATTTCACCTAACTTTTTCCTTTCTCTTTCCAAATCCCTTCTCAAATCCCTCAACCAAACACAGCGTAAGAGTCCGTTTCAAAGTTGAAACCCTTGTATTATTTATTAATAAAAATTTCTTTTGTCCCAAAAACATTTCTTTACACATCACAATCATGTATGGTAATTCTATTTTCTATTTCATAACTTCTTGAGAAATGGAAGTGAATTCTATTGATGCTCTCAATCAGTTAGCATTTTGTAGTGGAAGTGATCTTTATTTGTGGATGCTTGGGACAAGAAATCCACACCAAACAAGGGACCATATTTATAATA